GGACTGGGCTTTGGCGAGAGAATATGATGCTGACATTGAGAAGTACGTATCCAATTTTGTCATGCTAATAATAAACAAGTAATCATGCGATGTTGCTCGTACAATTAGGGATTAATAGTTCTCGTGATGTTTGGAAATTTGCCAAATTGGACTCACCCCGGCGGCTCGTCCAATTTTGGCAAAATTTCCAAACATCACTCGTACTATTAATCCCTAATTGTACTCGCCATCGCATGATTACCTGTACTAACAAAAGCCATCTAAAAGAGAAAATTGCCTGGCAAGGGAAATAAATGGAAATAAAAGGGAAATAAAACATGTTCACAATTTCAATTTTTGTTCCGGTTTGACTTTTATAATAATAAAAGCCGTTTATAATAATAAGGGTTCGATTGTATTTGCAACATTCCCAGATATGACTGCGAATTCTACGAAATGGAAATGTTAACACTTAAGGTTGCATTCCGGTTAAGTGCTGAATAACTGAATGATGCATTAAATAAAGGGACAGAATTTAGTTTCATGTACAATGTAATGTGTATTTGTCGAGGTAATTAGCAGTAATATAAAATTTAGAAAGATTTAAACTTTTCCATGCGTACACGTACGTATATGAAAAACGCTTATGAAACAGGCTTTAAGCCCTGGTCAAAAGAGGATAAGACTTCAGTCTGTTAAGAGTTGAGAAGCGAGAGTTTTCTCAACTCTCGTGCCCACGGTCAAACGAGAACAAGAGTTGCTTGAAAGTTGACTGGATATTAACCGCGCGCGTAGCAATAACTCTCGTCAACTCTCGTCAATATTTGAACCAGCTCAAAGGTGATGAGAGTGTGTATGTCGAGAATCGATGAGAGTTGGCGGGGGAAACGCGAATGATAGTTAAGCAAGGAAATTAAACAACGTCCCTCTAGGCTCTATTAATTCCGTTTGTCTTCTCCGAATACGAGACTATTTACATATGATGAAAAGACATTTTCCCATCCTGGTATTAACTGCTGGTTGACCACAATCTGCTACATGACAATGCTTAGTGAAATATCGATTGCACCAACAATTAATAAGGACTAAAACTGGCCGTTTGAACGAAGCTTGCTCATGACTATAGTCAAAATAACAATCGAGGTTAAACTGTGACCTTTATCTTGGATATATATTATATATCACTTTTACACATTAAGATAGAAAGCTCTTTCCAATCAAGACAAATTGAGTTGTATATAAACAGAGTGAACGTTTAATAAAGAGTAATTCGAAAAACTATACTAAATAAGTTCAAACTTACCCACAAGGTTGCTCGTTTGTGTTTTAAACGCACTGTGAGATCGAATATACCCACTCCGAATTATTATTAAGAAGAAACCTGAACTATTGTTTATATTTTCAAGTACATAATTTCCGCTCTTGAAGAGCTCAGGTTTTTAGTGTAGAGGGGGGGGGGGGGGGGTTCAGCTTGCATGAATTATTTCCGGCCCTCTGCTTGTGCTGAAATTTGCGAAATTTTAAAGTAGTTTCATTTGCTTTCCTCTTTGCACGAATTCTTGTATTTTGTTTTCCTTTGCGCCAAATATTTCTGTTCCCTATCTATCACTTTTCTATCGGTTCGCCCCTAAAGGCAAAATTTCCAGCCCCCCCCCCCCCCATCAAAGAGTTCATTGAGGGTCAAAACAGATAAAAATAAAAGGGAATCATTATCACGGTCAAAAATGATTGTATTTTCTAATTTTTCTGTTTCAAATTTTCACGATTACATATTTATTGTCCCGACGGGTGTACACAGATCGATCTTAAGGTTTTTGTAAAAATCCTGGCACATTGCACTAACAGACGAAACAGATAATATCATAATAACTTCTAATACATTTCCTGGACAATACACTTTTAAGAAAGAAACAAGAAACATTAATTATATATTCCTATTTCCTTTATAACCATCAAAGGCTATATATCGACTGATAGCAAAAAACTTGTTACAAATAATTTACAGCCATAGTCATAGAACTTTTCTTAAATAAATATCCCGCAAGTCATAGAGTAAGTCATTTACATATGCAACAAACTGAAATATTTTGAAAAAGAAGACAGATTTTGAAACAGTATGTAAAATAACTTATATCACAGATTTAAATCAACCCAAATGTTATTGCCATGTCCTTTAGACCTTAGACCATCTAGCTGCTGACACACACTGGCACACACAACATGACCTCACAGTCGAGGTAAAAATTCATTGGAATTCATAAGAGACCTTTTCGTTTGTATATGACACGCGGTCGAAACTGTTTAAAATATTTGTCTCAATCCAGAGTATCGTTACTGTTGGAAAGGTCAATTTCACGCAACGCAACTCAATTTCATTACATTTTGTCATTTCATCGATAAATTTCATCGTATGCTTTAATAGTATAAATCCTTTTCATGATGACGTCACAACCAGAATTACAGCACGTATATGATGTTTCAATAGTAAAAATATGAGAATTCAATTTTCAACATGCACCGTTTTGATATAACCAGCAATTGATAATACATACGGTAGTACTTTTTATCTACCCCGGAATAAATAACATTTAGGATGGGCAAAGCGAATTTAGCTTTTCTCTTTCAATTTGGAGAACAATCTCTTGTTAATTGGAGGTCAAAATCTAATGTAGATTGCTGATACCAAATGTTATTCATTCCTGATGAAACTTGGCATGCTAAATACTAAACCTTTTCTTTGCATGTTTCTTGTCGTTCCAGTAAGGTGTGATGTTGAAAATCAATAAAATTCCATATAACACATGTTGTATCTGTTTTTCAAGGTTATCACTCGATAAGTGCTTTAATAATTTTGGTATTTGTAGTTATATGACGTCATCATGAAATTGAAAGGTCTAAAGTGACTAGACGTTAAATCATTTTCCTACAAAGAATAGGGACCATTGAAAAGTAGGCTATGATCGAGTAATAGTGCCGATAGAAATTTTACCTGTCCTTTCGAAGCCATTTCGACATAGGGCTGGTTGTCATACTTTGTTGTTGGGATATTTGTGTAGAACGGGTCTAAATATAATGTCATATTTGTTAGTTTTGAATCGCAAAGACAATTGTGAACGTCGACACTTTTGTGCGACGCAAATTATTCAGCTAATCATGTCAATCAGTGCTTGTTAATATAGCTTCTAGTTCTATGATTATAAAAATTGCGCGACCCAAGGAAGGTCAAACTCAACACAGGTTGTATAGAATGCATGGAATATTATATTTATACTCTGTAAAACTGTAATCTTGACGTATTCTAGAAAGCAGCAGTGGGGGGGGGGGGGGGGGGGCAGCAGTGATTATCTTAGTCGAAGTTAATTTCGGAAGAAGAAAAAATTACAACTATTTTTTCGTATAGGTCTATAATTGCTTGTTTTTGAGTTCGCGTGCATCATATACAGTCGCGCAAATTGTTATTACTGTAGTCAAAGTACCTTTTTTATTGTCATGCTATTTAGTTCGAACCGATTCAAAATCTCCTGTTCTCGATTTAAAATCTCCATTCTGTTCTTCAAACCTACTGTTCGCATGTGAACATTTTGGAATCATATTAAAGTCTAACCTTATATTACCAACTGTCTCTGGGTTCATTTATCTCCGTACCATTCAAGTATTCAACCCAAATCGTCGTACTCGTATTAGAGTTAAAATAGTTGTTCAGTGTGTTTTCCTCCTTTGGGATTACAATATTTATGATAGAGCAGTTATTTGTTCAGTTTTTGGTAAATTTAAAGAAAAAACTACACAATAGAAATGATTGACATTTGACGATACACTTGCCTTCGCTTCAGTTACGGCAGCCGTAATATCCTCGCTTGGAAACTTTGGAAAACTGATTGCATGTAAATCGCTAAAAAGATTGGTTAAATTCGTTAATTTAGCATTACACCAGTTTGACAGTATAACATAGCACACTAACTTCACCATTATTGACAATATGTGTGTACGTGTGGCCGACTGTTAACGATTCATTTTGCACTAAAAAAATTCAATACACCACCTCCTATCCCGTTCTGGGACCGGCACAGGTGGCGGAAGTTTGGTTGGTTGGGGTGGAGGGGGGGGGGGTGTAGGTCGAAGACAAACTCCCCGTTATGTTCCCCCGGAAAATTTTGAAATGTAGAGTTCCTGTGTTCCGGGGAAGACTCAGTGAACTCTAATAAGACTGGAACGATAACTGAGGTAAACATGCCCATACTTGTCTGAAGCCAACCGTGCGAGGAAATTGCACTTTTAAAAGGACTAAGGAGAGTTTCGAGGAGTGGGAAATTCAGTCAAAGTTTATTTTCGACGAAAATGAACAAGAAAAGTCGTTTTTCATCAAAAGAATTCAATCTTAAAAACCCAAATACGATTTATTTGATAGTTAGAACTGCTTTGCATCTCACAACAGCGAAAGTTTGAAGGGTATCAGGTTTGTTTTCATAAAAACAACACCAGTTCAACGTGCCCAAGTGAACTTTGCCCTTTAACAAAAAAAAACAAACTTTAAAACATAAATCTACGGACCAATAACTTTTTTGTATTAAAGTCTAGGTATAGTTGTTTATTTTGAATGCTTTTTAACATCTCTAAAACGTGAATAAATCGATTTTTCCGTAGAAACCCCCGTGATTTGCGATTTGTGATTTGGCGCCAGGGAGAAGTTCGCGCGCTGTGACTTTCAAAAAAGAACTGGGGAGAGTTCAATTTCCTCATAACTTTGTTTTTTTAGCAAAAATACGGCGAAAAATTAAGTTTTTCGTCCGAAGATTTCAATTTCGAAGATTTAAACTTGGTTTTCTGGATAGTTCTAAGTATTCTGCATCAACTAGCTGCAAAAACGTTTGAGGTATCAGCTTTATATTTGAAATACTTAACAAATTTGAACGTGCCGAAGAAAACTTCGCTCTTCAACTAACAAAAAAATGTTTAAATCTCTCTACGTTTACGAAACTTGTTTTGGAGTAAGGTTCAAGTATTGTTGTTTGTTTTAAGCCTTTATTCTTATTCAGATGAGGCTGTTTTGTGTAAAAAAAATCGGCGTTCTTTTGATGATGTAATTTCGGACTTTGGCCTTATGGCGGCCTTCAATTTGGCGTCAAAGATGGCGGCGGCCGAGTTATCGTTCCAGTCTTATTAGAGTTCACTGGGAAGACTACACGGACAGAATCTGCGTCATTTCAGGCTGCAAGGTATCACGAATCTTCATATTAAGGCCCCAGTTACACGATTCCGGATTCGCATAGAGCGAGATCAACTAAGACGCTTTTCGGCCTCTTACAACTTTTGATAGTTGAAGAATTGAGAATTCTGTTACGTGTTACGTAATATTTTTCTAAACGAGTGCGAGTGTTTTACCAGGGTTTCCAAATACGCGAGAACAATGGAATTCACGAGGCTGTTTTATATACCAAGCAATTTTTATTGTTCTCCAGAATTTGTAACACTAGACTTTCGCAAAGTCCTTCGTCTTTGTTTAGAACAAAGTTTTGAAAATTCAAGGAAGTAATTTCTTGAAGAGTAAGGAATTTGCGGAAGTCAATTAGCGGGAGTAACGAAACGAAGGTAAAACACGAAAGACAATGAAAACACGAGGCCGGAACGGCCGAGTGGTTTTTATTGCTTGAGTGTTTTGCAGATTCAAGAGAACAATAAAAAATGATTGGTAAACAGCCTCGTGAAATCCATTGTTCTCAAGTGTTTGGAAACCCTGGTGGAACGCGAGCCACGAGTTTATGAAATAACTTCTCAATCGACAATAGTCTATTGTTTTACTATTCGATGTTTCAATAGTCTAGGTCGCTTGTGAGATCGAGTAAAGCTGTGTGATTAAAATTTGCAAACTAAACTACGACAATTAAGAATTGTGGTAATAACACAGTTTTCATTGTTTTTACTGTTTTCATAATTAAGAAATGTTGTAATGGATCACTTCTTATTGTCTCAAGCGTTTATTATCTAATTTCTTAATTACTGATTCAAAATTTATATCTTCACCGGGGTTTCCAAATTCATGCACGTGACAAAATGCTTGTGCTTGATTGGTCTATTTGCTCATGAATTATTAATGAGTTTGAGAAATTATCATAATTTTGAGTGCCAAACTTTCGTTGAAACTGTAAAATTTGATGTCTCTCCGATGCGAATCCGGTATAGTGTAACTGGGGCATAAGTTCACCCGCATCAGTCTTTATATATAATTTTTTTTTTGGGGGGGGGGGGAGAGGGGCTTATAGCCCTATAACTACCCAGTTGTATGGAGTTCACTTATTATACCTTAACAAAGACCTAGTTTTCTGTGTTGATGGTGTGCCGGTGAATGGAGCTTCCTGGGGTGACGTTGACTCGTTCGCCCTAAAAAATAAAAATATATAGGCAAATTACGGCTGCACTGAACAACAACAACACAAAGAATACAAAACAGAGCCTAATAGGCAATTCCAGCTTTTAGTTTATGCGTGCAGGGGATGATGGGAAGTAAGGTATCATATTGCTGATTATGCTGAAAATTTTCAATAAAAACTGTCGAAACAACCGAAATATTTCAATATTTACCAGAGGAGGTTGGACAGCAGGCCGCAAAGCATCATGGGTATTGAGCGCCTAATTCCACGGCGTAGCTTCATTGACTGTTGACTATCGAGGAGTGAACATCTCTCTGACTAAACAAATATGGAAGCTTTCGAACGACTAAAAGTCGACTATTGTGTCAGAACAGCATATTGCTGTAGTGTTGCGATCCTCATTATGACTTGTGTTTTGCTATACCAAGTTTACCTTTTTTTAAATTGCATGGGACGTGCTGTCATTTTAGTTTAGTTCATAAATAATCCGTCTGAGCGAAGGAATTGTGTTTATATAAATATTCCCAAATCCTAATAGCAAGGCTCTTCTTTCTAAGTTGGATGGCGTTAAATCTCCGTGTATCATCAACGTGAAAACAAGCGCAGTATTTAAGGTTGGTATACTACAATGCATTACAGTTATCTTGTTATTTTATAGTCAAATTTCCGCTTTGTTGTTTTTATTCTTGTACTGTACTGTACTGTACTGTACTGTAATAGTGTAATTTCAGAAATACACTGCACAAAATTATAGCAATATAGCGTATAATATTTGTGTTTATTGCCTCTAGTTTGACCCTATTGTGTGTGTCTATGTACTCTGTCACTGTGATAGTTATGTACATGTTTTGAGTTAAACAAATTGTTTAATAAATTTTTGCTGAAGTAGTATACAGTAGTTATATATTTTTCAATTTTCATCTGTAAGTAATATTGCCATATTTGTGTGTTCTAATATTACTGTAAATAGTGACACACTTTTGCATTAGATTGCTAATTTTAGAGATTACAGTGTATGTATAAAATAAAAATTTTCCTGTTATGATTTTGTAGAAAGAGATCTACTTGAGTGGTTGGCTGGTCTTGAACCTGGTCAGGATGGATATATGGTAATGAAGGTGATACGGCAGAATGTGGTGACCAGTTAAGTGATGAGGATGAAAGTGACGAGAACGAAATCATCCATGCTGTACCATTCAAGTGCATCAGTGCTGCTCATGAGAAAAACTACCAACATCATTTGGAACAGGCAATATACTTGCTCTTCATGGACAAGATAAACCAGTGAATGTAAGAATATGGCCAGAGCAATTGAATCCAATGGACCCAAGTGCAATTGATCTGGACTATATGGAACTGGATGGACACATGTTGGTTATTTAATATTGCTTCTGAACTATGCGAGTATTTGCACCCACTAATTGCCACAGGAGATATCTTAGAGGTCTATGTTCAGCATATCAAGTATAGGGTTGACTTAAATTTTAAAATAGGATTTTATCCAAAAATTTCATTAAAGTAATGTGGTGAGTGGGAGACTCAAGTGGTAAAGAAGAGCATGAGTGTATGTTGACAGATGTTTGTGATATAATAGCAACTGACTAGGTTTAGCAAGTTATAGAAATGCTGTTATTTCAATTGGCTAACTTTTTAGATTTTTTGTCAGCATTTTTAATAAACAAAAACTAGGTTAATCACAAGTGGGTGCAATTAAAACAATGTCTGTCATTAAAACAATGTCTGTCAATTAAGTACATAATTGTAACATGTGCTGTACACTAAATGAAGAAATAAATAGTTCATACAATCATTCACTTGACCAACTTTGTGAGTAATTTTTCATTAAAATTAATGCAACAATAAAACAAAAATATGTCTATTTATATACATATTGATCAAAGGTCCCACAATAACATGCTGCTGATACTTTGTGGTACATTATATGAGAATACAAAAAAACCCTGCATATAATGCACCTATCAATGTTAAGTCCCAGATGTGGGGTATTTAATCATTAATTGCATCCCCACCCTAGGGATTTTGATTAGGATTTTGGGCCCGAGTTAGGGCAATTTGAACCAAAATGACTGTTATTAATACAGTATTTAGTGCAGTTTATTGCAAAATGTTGGGGTATTTGGCCAATATTTATTGCCCAACAGTGGGACATTTGATTGAAAATTTGCTCAAAAATCAAATGCCCCACATATGTCCGACGCCCCTCTGTGGAGCTTAACATTGATAGGTGCATAAGAACAACCATTTCTCAAACTTTATCTGAATTAGTTGTGTAACAGCATTTATACAAAATACTGTTAAATAAGGCCAAGTGGGCCTTCACTGCTATAAAGGGCATTCTATCCAATGGCATTCTAGGACAAATTAACATCTCCATGGCGTTGTTCTCCAAAGCATCGAGCAGCTATATAAATCAGATTGCCTTTTTGACCAGCATGAAGTACAGACATAGCCTTGGCAACAAGTGGGAGAAAATTTTGAGGTACATTTGAATTTAGCATCTAAACCAGGATTAAGTTTTACCAGCCATTTTTGAAACAGGTGGATGAGTAGTTGTTCTGGTTGTCACTGGGTTAGTTTTGAAAATCCAGAAGTCATATCAATAACATTTACCAGAGAGGTGAACGAGTTTAGAACTCCAAATTTAATGATGATGCTTAGAATCATTGACAAAAATAGAATCCACTAGCCAAAATCATGAATCTCAAATCTAAAACATCAGCCAAACAATACATTTCAGCAATAAAATATAAGTGCTTTAATTACTTACATACTTTAAACAATACATATAAATCCGTAATATATCGAGACTTCTGTAGTATATCAAATTTCTTTAGAAAAAAGCTAGTAATAGCAGTTCATTATTGATCTGAGTGACAAGGCAGCATATTTTACAAAGGGCTATATTCAACGGTGAATATCTCGAAAACGGTTGAGAGGCCGAGGGGGGCCGGCTGGATAGAATTAAAGATTATACTTTTATCTAACTAATCGTGAAAAAAATAGCGAAATCGAACCATGGAGATTTGAGATTTTTGTCTTCAAAGATTGTTGACAGAAACGCCATTAAATTACATCGCGACGGCCTAGCGCCTAAGTGAGAGGTCAAAATAAACTGGAAAATGACGCTTACCTTTTAAGATACCGTTCCAATGGGTAGATTGACTGTTGTAAAAGTAGTATCGCGTGAAATGTTATGAGCCCTATGTAAATTTTCGATGCTAAAAGCTTCGTGCGAGCATGAAGAAAATGGCGCAATCTGATTGGTCGAGATGTTCGCCTAATTGGCTGTCCAACCTCCTCTGAATATTTACAAATATAAATTACAAATATATTACAAATATACGCATAAACTAAAAGCTGGAATTGCCTATTATCCTTGGTTGGAAGTACTTTTGTTATATTTGAGACAACAAGTGAACAAGTGAACAAGTGAACAAGTCAACAAGTCGTCAAGTCGTCAAGTCGTCAAGTCGTCAAGTCGTCAAGTCGTCAAGTCGTCAAGTCGTAAACAAACAAACAAACAAACAAACAAACAAACAAACAAACAAACAAACAAACAAACAAACAAACAAACAAACAAACAAACAAACAAACAAACAAACAAACAAACAAACAAACAAACAAACAAACAAACAAACAAACAAACAAACAAACAAACAAACAAACAAACAAACAAACAAACAAACAAAACAACAACTGAATTAAGCCTGTTACTGCCGTTCAAGTACGTATTTACTTAAGCTGTTCAAGTAAGTAGAGTCGGTTGGTTCCCCGCTGTTTTTCACGTTTGTTCTCTTGGACCAAAAACTGTTAGGCACGAGTTTTTTCACTGCTCATGCAGGTGAATTCGCCCTTCCGGGAAGTACTTAGCCGAAGCTATGGGTGTATTGGGCAACTACACTCTGTGCATTCGATCTCAAACGACAACTCTAAGTACCTCGCTTCGGCAATTTTTTCCAACGTAGCATTAATCACAGCAGTTCGCGACACAAGACGAGGATTTACTTGATGTACCACCGTTGATAATGGCCTCGGTCGAGGAACTAAAATACAGTGCAGCAACTCAATGACAAAAAACAAACAAAAAGTGCAGCAACTCATTGACAAAGTTGACGTCCATGGCGGACACTAGTAGGGGAAGGGCAGTGGGAGGGGAAGAGGGGGGGGGGGGAGTCACCTCCAATATTTTCCAAAAGACCCCGTAAGATTGCCAATGTTAAATTGTGCCAAATTCAGGTCAAATTATATGTGCCAAATTTAGGTCAAATTGTAGACTTGAAGCAAAATGCATGGCATTTAGCAGAATGGTAGTTTTCTATGTGCTTATTAATCACAGATATAGAGATATTTCACAGATATTTTCAAAGCCCCTTTGGAGTTATTACTGTTCCAAAACTGGAAAAATACTTCAAAATTGCCAAAAATAGCGTTTTCAGAAGATATAAACCTGCACGTAACTCAAAACTCGTAACTCAGAAATAAGAAAACCATTTAAATGCCTCATTTATTACATTTTTGGGTTGATATATTACTCCAGTATATCAATGTATTACTCCATTAATATGCTGAGACAACTGCATGCACATACCTTCAATACGTGTGGTTTCTCTCTGTCTCAGAGTCTTGTCACGACGCATTGCGAGATCTTGCTGGACTTTCGTGAGTAGATCAAAATATTTTCCAACTATGGCGTTTCTCGCCGCAGCTCTCCTCTGGGCAGCAGGATCGTGGTCGCTCTAAAAAATGTCACCATTAATAGAATTCATGGGGGAGTTCGTCAACTATGCAACACTCAGTTCCGGCCCGTAACTAGCTACCAGTCAACTGAATCAGATGACTCGGTATAAGAATTTAAAAACAGGAAGACTTGGTGAAGATTCATATCAAGCTTTATCTCCTAAAAACGTCTGGGCCATAACGGGAATCGAGCCATGAAATCTTCTGCTAACCAGACATATGCTCCAATCAATGACCTACAATGCCTCCGATGGTGAGCTAAGATTACGTTATACTTACTAGTTCTGTGCGTGTTACATGTGTCCTGCTAACTGCAAGTCTCGACATAGTATAAGCTTGATATATGCATCTATCGTCACACGCTATCACAACAATTATATAGATTATACAGGAATACTTCAAGTTTAAACCTACAAGGTGGCGTAAGAAGAGGGAGACTCCTGTGGATGCACTCAATTACAGAAGTGTGGGTATAAGCGTCCAAAATATTACCACAAACACGTTTTTATTATGCACCTTATCATGCTAGACCAAGAACATTTGTAATTATTGGGATTACACGTCCAATTGTCAGATATACACACTATAGAATTATAGTCGTTGTGTAGTTAAAAACTTCGTTAAAATTGCTCCCAGAATGCAGGAAATGGTGCTTCTAAAGCCTTAGTAAATAAAGGATTTTCTGTGGTATATATAGTATCCGGTATATCCCCCATGCAGGCACCCGTTTTGTACCCTTTAGATTCGGTAGTCCATGCAGGCACACGTTTATTATGCAGGCACACGTTTATCATGCAAGCACACGTTTATCATGCAAGCACACGATTACATTGCATGGTAATCCATGTAGGCACAGGTTTTGTACCCTTTAGATTTGGTTTTCCTTAGACAGATTTTCCTTACCGTTCTTGGTATATAAACGATATTACCTGATATATAAACGATATTACCTGATATATAAAAGATATAAAATGCTAAATCTTAATACTTTTTTATACCGATTATTTTAAATCAAAGCACACGCTATTTACAAGCTCTTCTCATATAGTATTTGTTATAGTTTACCCTGGTTGTGACATCGTTATCCTGGTTTTCCTGCTCATAATTGAAGTTTTTATTGTATTTTTCGCTAATAAAGCGACTATATGATTATCATCGTTATTTCAAACTTACTTCCGATAAACATCTTGGATTTGAATTCCAGCAAAAAATGACGAAATAATTAAGGGGTAAGGTTTTTGCATACACTAAGTCGCTTGTGGGCCTTGTGTGTTGTTCATTTGTAAGTTTGTCAGTGCCAAAGATTTATCTCTACATATACTTATATAATTAACAAATGTGTTTGTACGATTTTTATTATTTACTCGTTGTGAAGGATCGTATATAGCGATCCTTCAGAACCCCTCCAGAATTTACTGAGCTGTCTATGGCCTAACAGGTGCATAATGCAAGACTCTATCTAGTCATATTTAAAAGAATCTCACCATCGTATCTCTCTTGAGTTCTTCGTTAAGACGAACGCCTTCCACATAAAATCCTTGCTGCATGTAGAACATGACAAGCATTTCGCGTGCTTGCGGGAATGGTGACTGTTCAAAGAATCTTATCAAGTGTTCCTATAAACAAAAGACGATATGTCGTTTGAAACTCGGACGCTGTATATTTAAAAAGGTAATCCACCTTCTAAAAGCTATTATGTTCAGGCAGTCTGGTTAAACGATTTGGTAAATTGGGGCGATTTTTCCGAGTAAAAAACGATGATTTGTCCGCGTAATGTTGAGATTTGAAAGCATTATCAATTTGTTTCTCACGAAAAGACAAGAAAAACGGGCTACGGGCTAAATAATACCAAGGGCATTGATCTACTTTAATCTTTGTAACGATTGTAGTGTATGTGTTAAGATGATGTTCTGCATACGAGTACCCATACACACCGGGCAAGCCTGACGTTTTTCTTAACCAGGGATTGAAATAACCGGGTGCCCGATCGATCAACTTTTTAATCTGGCGATCAGATGTTTCCAAAAGGTAGCTCTTGCCATAGCATATATTTAAGAGCTAGAAAGTTTTTAAAATGACAAATGAAAGTAAGCTGGGAAACGAAAAATCTGCTTGTGTACGCATTTTTTTAATTAAAAGTTTTAACAGTCATGCATGCGTGTCCGGTAAGCGGTAATATTTGCCAATCAAACTGAAAAATTACCGTTCAATCACCGGCACTTATTTTGAGGCCTGGGGCCGGTTGTAGAAAACTTTTAATTACTTTTTAACCACTATTTTGTAGTTAAATAGTGGTTAACTCTCAAATACGCGCTTCTTACTGGATGACGTTTCCACTAACTATAGTTAACTTTAATCACTTTTTTATACAACCGACCCCTGGTATAGTTTTGTATTTCGAGGCAATTAAGGTTACAGAACACCTTTGAGTGTTAATTTTGCCTAAAATTTTTTATTGGTTTCCATGAAAGCATTAGAATAGTGCTACTATCTGAGAAAGTTTGAACGAAAAATGTTGAAAACTCGCAGAGTTGTTTAATAAAATACATTTTGCTGCAATAAGAAAAACATTGAAAATGTAATATTCAAATTCAATTTTCTCCCGAAACATTTTACGGCAATTACCGATTTTCAAACGAGTTGTTCTCCTGCGGGTCTTAACGAATTTTTCTCAAATTTTCACAGGATATAGCTAAAGACGTCAGTTGCAAAATTGTGTTCGGCTTTGTTCTAATTTTGGATATTTTAATAATAAGGAGCAATTCACTCAAACGATTCAGAAATATATTGCAGTCGTCAAAGAAATCGCCATATCAGCGGAATGACGAAATAAACAAAAATTTCCGAACACAATTTTTTAGAACAACTATTTTACTGTATAAAAATGATATTTTCATAAATTTATCTTAAAACCAGCAGGAACACAACTCAAAAGCGTAAAGGTACCGCGATTTAAGATTTTCCTGAATAATTCTTACATTATTTTATTGTTTGGCAATTTTACAACTTTACCATATTTTGGATGCACTGGCTAACATTTGGTGAAAATTTTATGAAAATCGGACTGATTTTGAGCGCGCAGTAGCGATTTTCCGCAAAACGCCAAAAAGAGTGTCCTGTAACCTTAAATAGAATTGAGAGCAACACCTTAACTACGTGCTCTTATAAATTTCAACATTTCTAAAGTTGGCCGGCCCTATCTGTTGCGCTGTAAGGCTTAGTGAATTTCAATACCGATATTAAAATTACTTCTTACCACTTCCACTTTATCAAGCGGTAGTTTCAACATTTTGCCTGTACTCTTGGCTAAAAGGCAAAAAGGGAAGTCAGTAATGGACTGCACAACCGGAAATTGCACGAAAAATTGTCATCAAAATTATCTTTTGCATTATACGGTGAAGATCCCTGCACTATTCACCTCCAACTTCGGTGTGTAATTGTTAATTAGAACAGGATGCTAGCCTGTTGCTCAAAATATTAACTTAAAAATTCAAATTACTTACATTGATGACACCCAAGAAAGAAATGGTTCAATAATTCTTGTCTCCTAACAGGATCTCGATATTGACGCTAATAAAATAATTTTAAAAATATACTTCAATTATTAAAAATTGCAATTCTATCTATAGGCCGCGTCAACAAGTGGAAGAGCGGGAAATCATGCAAAAACGTATAACATGTACATTTCCCAAACGTATTAGTAATTCATGAGCAAACTTGTGAGGGTACATTTTAAAGGATCAGTGTCACACCATGGCATCGCGGGCTTTCTTGGTACATTTCCAATAAGAATCAGATAAAAGAATCAAGAATTCTCAAAGGATGGCTTAAATATATACGACGGATTGCAAAAAAACGTTTTTGGATTTTCTAGACCCACTGAACTACTCGCATATAAAATGGTGATTCCTAGATAGTATACTTCAAAATAAGGTTTCCGTTTTTATAACGTACAAAAAACTATCCTAACGCAAAACTAAACCCTAACCCTAATACTAACTCTACCCCTAACCCTAATACTAACCCTACCCCTAACCTTAACCTAACCCTAACTTATTTTAAAAATTGATATAAAAACGGAAACCTTATATTTTGAAGTATACTATCTAGCAATCGCCCATATAAAATAGTCGCCAGCAGGAATTTGAGCCCGCAATACCATGGTGTAACACTAACCACACGTAGCGTGTAAAGTGATTCACCTGAAATTGCCAAGCCTCGTTGACCAGACCATTCTTGATGAGAACAGACAAATGAAGCTCGACATCAGCTGGATTAGACATGGCAGGCTTCACTGAACGAATAAACAGCAGTGCCTTCTTGCTTTCATCTGCAGAAAATTATAGAAAAAAATGAATCTTTGGGTACTTTGGCCATCAATGAAATTAACGTATTTTTTATTACTTTATTTAGTTTAGTTTATAATTTAGTTTAGTTTAGTGAAATATGCACATTACAAATTACAAATTACAAATACAGTAAATACAGAACTTGCATGCAACACCTAAACTAACGGTGGCACGAAGACGGAGTGACAGGAGAGGAAAACAGTACAAACGTCCCAATTGACAATCCTCCCCTATATAATTCTTTTACTTTGCAAAGCTCGCGGTCCTACATTTACCTTGTTCCAAGAAGAGACGAATGATATGGGAATTTTGCCATGGAGCTAAAGTCAACTGGCCTGCTGATCCGATCAGAAATTTGAAAGCATTCTGTATTAAAAATAAGCAAGTTTGTATTTAAAATGAGAACATGTCAAAGTATTTTAGCGCTCAAGACATTCGTTCACTGAGTTCATTTCTTCGTTTAGAGATCCTTCCGTAAACCGTAACCTTCTCACAAACCATAAAGTAATCAACTATATTTCCTGACGAAAGGGCCTTTTTGAGGAAGTGAAATTCAGACCCAAACCTCGACAGCTTGTAGTAGAATACAACCCACACAAGACTCTGACGTTCGATGTAAAATAATGAAGTTTGTATTGCTGTTTGAAACTTACATCGAAGTCTTTGTGATCTAAACACCAGAAACCATGAAAGAGTTTCACCAAAACTGGCTGAAGACAAAACATCGCAGCAAACTTTTCTGCAACCTGAACAAAAACAGAACAGAAAAATTTAAGCAATGTGTGGTATGGTGAGATATACTGTGCTATGGTAAGGTCTAAAACATTTTTGTAAACCGGAAATGGTGACACACCCATGATACCCCTAAATGCCGTAGCGTATATAGCAACAAGCGAACAACCTGAAATTTCATTAAATCTCGAAGTTTTACCAAAAAACTGGAGGTAAATTATGGATACTGTGAAGACTAAAAGACAACCAATTAATGTATGTTTATTAAACATAATATATAGCTTTTACTAGTAATTTATGGTGTAAGGTATGATATGGTAAGCTTTTATAGTACGTATTTTGGATAGCTTTTATAGTATAAGGTACAATATGATAAGGTATATTGTGTTATATAATATGATGATATATGATATGATAGGTAAACTATCTATATTTATATGGATAGCTTAGTAAATACTATGTATAGTTAAACTTTGAGGTCCAGTATAGGATCCTTTCTACTGTATATTCACTCGTTGTTACCACTGAAGGAAACAAAAGTAAACTAACTTTACTGTATCAGCTGTCCTCCCTAGAAGTGCAGTAAAGCCCCAGGGCCGTAGCCACGTGGTTGACAATGCATCGTGCGTTTAATCCGTTAGAGGCCAAAGGCCGCGAATCTCAGGCCGCGTTTACACTATGACGCTACGGCAAATTTACCGTAGCGTAGTGATTTGCATCCGGAGTGCCAAACGTAGTGGTCTGTAGTTAATACGCTACGGCAAACCACTCCGTTATAGTTTAAACACAATACTAAGAAACGCACTGAATTTTTAACGAAATTAATTTGTATTCACAGTGGCAAATACAGTGGTCCGTAGTTAGTACGTTACGGCAAACCACTCCGTTAAACACAATATAGTCTCAATACTAGAAACGTAGTAAATTTTTAACAGAGTGTTAGCCGTAACGTCATAGTGTAAATGCGGCCTGAGGGGGGAGTCCGGAAGCATGCTCCCCAAGAAAATGTGTATAGAGTTTCAAAGAGGTCAGTCTAGCTCTTTCTCTGTGAAATCATAGGTGCAACAGATGCTTGGCTTAATATAACATTCAACAAAATAAATCATATCATATATACGTGCGAAATTCTACACAAACCTTTTTCATTCCAAACTGGGGATTCAACGAGCAAAGATCTAACAATGCATAATATATCTACAAGGTTAAGGGCACATAAAGCTAACTCATGGACTTTTAAAATACCCTCGTGTGTATTGGCTACTTAGGCCTCGGATTAGCCATGAATCAAGTCGGCAACGAGGAAATGAAATTGTACCCACATAACGTAATTGTCATATTAAATATTAACTATAGTTACTAAAGTTATAGCAATATAGCAAGCAATATACGATCATGTACAGTGTATGCCAATGATGCCACAACATACGCATTTTATACAATCTGTTTTGTTCTGTGTAGGATTCCTTACAGCTCTACTGATAAAATATTTTAAACAATCAGAATTGATAGTTATAACTGTACACTAATTAAAAACAACAACGCTAATTGACATGATTAATTGATTATCTTAGAAAAAATATCTAATGTCCGTCAAATGGCACAACTCGGGACTCTTTATATATTCATTTCATCAAGACCCATGTTCTGAAAGATTCGCATAACTTAGATCCATATAACGGACACCGAAACCGCTTTAGCATAATGTTGAAAATTTACCTTCTCTCCCGAAAATATTTCGTGAAGTAGGCACTTGAAAATGGAAACACATGGTATATATCAATATTGCTTTACGAAGTGAAGATGCCATGCAGACAATGTTCAGTGATTCTGTGTACATTCACCTTGCATGGCGTGTTTTAATTAATGCTTATAACTTATAAGCATTTATTACGACTTAATTTGATATGCTAACATCAGTAACATGCGTACGTAACATCGTATGACCTGGTCGAAACCTAGAGACAAAAGATTATCCTGTACAATTAATCATGCAATTCAATGGATTTTGTTAACTGTTAAGCACAGCTAATGCCAAACGCTCAGGACTGAATGTTTATGTCCTGTTATAAATGATAATTTGACCGTGTTTTCATAGAAATTATTTGCCTCTAAGCGTAGGATCGAAGAAAGGCTGGAATCATATCCAGGTCTGCTGTAAATATGGAGCCCTCGCAATTAGTGACATCACATCATTTTACATATAGCGTAAAGTACATAATATTCCCACGTGACTGCAAAATCTAAATACGTGTTATTCATTTAACGCAGATAAGCATACTGAAAAGCCATCAAAAATAAAAGGATACAATACCAAGCTTCGAGGTGGGATTGATTTTTTCTTGGAGAACTAAACTGCACAGAGCCTGAAAACATAAAATATACATGTACCCCATGCATTCCAATAAATCTTCTCTTTATCTAAGCCACATATGCAAGGAAAGGTGCAAGTTTGCCATGGGATGGTGCACAAGAGAGCCTTAGTGGCCACTCACCTCCGCAGTCTGCATCAATGCTACTATCCCAACATCACCATTATTTGACATGGCCGAATCTGCATGTTCGCAGTTCTACGTTTTATATTGTTTTTTGTAAATATAACGTTTATATCTGCATTTTATCAAGTATGCGTGACTGGAAAGTTGCTGTAGCACAGTACATTAAATTCGCTAGTTATTAAAGTAAAAATATAATTGAAAATGTGGCTGTATAACAACCTCGACATGTTTACGTATTTTATTGTATACATGACAAAATTACTGCAATCTGTTAAGAGGAGTGCAATTATTTCATTAATTGCACTCTCCAGGAGTGCAATTAATGATTTTCGGATTGAGCGGGAAATCAAAACAACAAAATCCAATATGGCGGCGAAATTTATATAAGTATTTCTAACAAATGTGGACGAATTTAACTGAATTTTGGCACAAGAATGAGTTTAAGAAACATTTTATGGCAAAAAGAGCCTGTGGAAAATACCTGGAAACATTTTTAAGAAATAATCTTGGCGGGATGCAGCGAAACGTGACTATGTAAGTTTGAAATACAATTTATAAAGATTTTCTTAGTCTAAAATATGTTGTTTGAGTTTGAATCTTGTCTTCTAGTTTAAGTTATCTGTCTTTATGAGTTTACAATCATCTCCCAAGTTTGTTTATACCAAATTGCTTGCAAAAAAGAATTAAAAACTCTTGACAAAATGCAGTTGAAATATAAGGAAAGCGATTTTGTCATGCATATAATAAATAAATAATCACACGGGCAAGTCGTGCAATTAATGATTAACACTACTCGTGATATTTGAAAAATGTGCCAAATTGCACTCGCCTCGGCGGCTCTTGCAATTTTGGCACATTTTTCAAATATCACTCGTGGTTTTAATCATTAATTGCACTCCTTCCCGTGTTATTACCTATACTAATAATATACATAAAGATATTACTCGACTGTGATTGGTTGATTTCAGTGCAGTTAATCCCAAACAGCAGTGCCATTTTCTGTAATCACATTGCAATTTTCTGTTATCACAGTGCAATTTTTTGTAGTCACAGTGCAATTTTCTGTAATCACAGTGCAAAATCTGTAACAAACTGATCTGATTGGTGGAAAAACATTGTGATTAAATCAACCAATCAGTTTAAAGCAATTTAGTTTAAAGAAGTAACGGTCACAGATTGCTTCAAAACAGAAGAAACATGGCGCCACGCTACACAAAGTAAAAGTTGCCTTCGCGTGGAAAATATGACTTTTATCTTTATTTTTAAATGGAAAAGCATTTACCTTAAACAAGACTTTAATGCCTCAATTCGGTTAGTTAATATTTAAGAGAGCTATATATGAGACAGTAAAGCACACACAATGTTGTGGGAGAAGGGTTGTTGGGGAGAAATGCTCCGAATATATACTTTCAACTGGTCAAAGTGTCACCCCACAGACTCACAGTTACTCTAATTAATGCCCTCGGGGGTCTGGGTCCCCATATTGGGCTGTCCTCAGGGGGTCTGGGTCCCCATGTTGGACTCTAGTGTAATTAATGCCCTCAGGGGGTTTTGGTCCCCATGTTGGGCAATCCTCAGGGGGTTTGGGTCCCCATGTTGGACTCTAGTGTAATTACTGCCCTCAGGGGGTTTGGGTCCCCATGTTGGGCGGTCCTCAGGGGGTTTGGGTCCCCATGTTGGACTCTAATGCAATTAATGCCCTCAGGGGGTCTGGGTCCCCATGTTGGGCATGATATATACTTCAATCTAACATTTTTAATGTATGGTACATCGATTTGTGAGTCTATGGGATGAGGGTGACCTATGGGAGCACTCCATCCCCAAAACCAAAAATTTTTTATTTTCCAAAACCTTCCACATATTTTACAAGTAGTAACTATTCTACTGTTCAGTAAACGCTGCGAGCATTGCAGTCCATGCTAGTCTGTCTTGATAATGACCCATGCAATATAACAACAGGCTATAATACAGTTTTTTTTTTGTTTTTTTTTCCCTACTAAGCTATGATAAAGTGGTGCAACATCATTGATGGGTGGGGTGGGTGGAATTTAAGCAATTTTTTCGCTGTGAAGTGTCCTTCACTTTGGCTCACCGGCAACACAATGAAGCCTGTAGCCCAGGCAGGAAGCATAAGCAAACAAAACAGTTGGACCTGATTGGTCTATTTTCCCACATGCATGGGAAGAAGTGTTTGACAGTGGCTCATTGTTATTTACCGAGTGCTTTGCACGTGAGTGATCACGCGTTTTAAGACTGACCTTTGTGCCTAACCTGGTCAAATAAAAGGACTTTGCACAACTTTGGTTATATCCGAACGCTTGTTTCATTAACTTAAGTTTATAATGCCTATGGGCACGTATAAACTTGCTTTACATATTGTTGATACTGTACAAGTGGCAATACACAGTTTCGAAGAGATTTCCGCGCGTATATTACGAAATCGGACTGGAAATCATGGAAACGAGAGATGAGTAGTCTACCAACACAAAAAGAATCGCACATGCGCAGAATGGACTGTAACCCGTCTTTTAGTACGACATTAGATGTGTTAGATATAATTAGGCAAGTCGCACCGTCACAACTCTACGGATTAACCGTTAAATTAGAAAGACTACATCTATTCAGTGCACGTACAGAGTTTTACTGAAGTATATAGAACAAAAACTTCATGCATACTATTTACACAAAGCGCACTCTACATATGGTACTTATTGAGGTGCGATATATCTATACTTGGCTAACCATATAATTATGTGTCTACTTTGTCTGTGTACGATTTGTCTACCTTGGGGGCAGAGAGTTCGCGTTCACATCAAATTATAAGTTATAACCGACTTTAAGTCGAGATTGGGGTTAGCGGTTAGGGTCTGGCTAAAAGATAGGAACAAGATTAAAGACATTCTTGTTTTAATGTTGCATTTAGTTGATCACTGATAATAACAGTTCTAACAATACTTCTACCGTATTTGTTTGTGAGCTTTTTAATTAAAGAAAGGTTTTGTTAGTCTCTCCACTTGTGATTAGCTACATACAGACCGGAATTTTCCAAGAAATCTACATCTCGGAATTTTCCAAGAAATCTACATTCTTTTAAAGACAAAAGATTTTAGGCGCCTGGGAATTTAAAATAGCACAACTGTCAAAATTACTGCACACGCGAGTGCATAAAGCAAAATGTATGCATTTATTTAATGCGCAACAACAGTAATATGATCTATTAGCAGTGGCGTGCTGGCAGGGGGGGCCGGGGGGCCACGGCCCCCCAGCTGGCAATTCTTGGGGGGCGCAGAAATGAAAAACGGGCGCCAAATTTTGAAAGTTGGTGGGAAAAAACGCATTCTCGAAAAAATATGGTTACTTCCGCCAAGAAAAGACGTGTTTATAGGCTACAGTATAAAACAGACTAAGCGCATTGGCGACATATATTAAATTACAGACTATTTTGCCTAACCGTATTTGCTACCTCAAAGCTCACACGAAATCGTTCATATAGAAACATGATCAGTGATCACAGGCAATGTCTCATTACCGGAATATTGGTAAGGTTTCGATCGAAGCGATCACGGGAATTATGCCCTTTTTTTGCTGGTATTATGCCCTTATATTATGCCCTTTATTATGCTTCACGAATCACGAGAGCGGCGCAAATTAGATAGTTGAAGTTATGATAACTGATGTAAAGTTGTGTACGCAATTTAGTTGTTTGCACAAGAAGCATGAGTAATGTAAGTAATGAAATAATGCTGAAACATGCCCTTTTGGTAGCCAGGCAAAGAAACCTTAAAATGCATATGCGTGGGGTGCGCGTGTTATTGTAAAAAAGAGCTTTAAGTTGTAAATGTGCTCAGAACAGTAGATCAACAGAGAACAGAATTGGGATTAGATTAATCGCTGGAAGTAGTTAGCATTGCATAATTTAAGTACTACTACTACTAAATTCTAACCAAATTGCAAATTTCGACAAGTTAGAATGCCGTTTCCTGACCATCAGATTTCTGTCAAATCTTCCCCCAAAGTCCAGGAAATGGCGTTTCACAGACTCTAAATTCAAAAATTTTCCTGGCGGGCATGCCCCCGGACCCCCCTAGACAAACCTCGCACCTGCGGCACTCGGCCCTCGTTTATCAAGTGTAACATTATAGGGGCGCATATTGGCTGACAGCCCACTGGCCCCTCCAGAAAAATAGTACCCAGCACGCCACTGTCTATTAGCAATTCGATTTCAATTCCCAGGAGCCTAAAATATTTTATGCTTAAGAATTGCAAAGTGATTTCTTAGGAAATTCCGAGGTTGCGTTTTTATACACCCTGTATACACAAGATAGGTGATAGGCTATAGGGCTACATCAGTTACATGACATGCAGAACGATCGCAAGTGAAGGACATGCAAGGTCAAGAAGAAAATTTAAATCAAAATGTTGCTATAACAAGTGAAAACTGAAACCTCTGTCTTTACTAAGTTGAGCTCACACAATGTTAAACTACAAGCAGCCTCACTTATTCCGAAGCGAAAAATTTCAAGATTTCAATGTCAATTTTTTTTTCACTTTTAGTCTTTCAGATATTCCTCCAGAGTGCAGGGCTTGGAAATCGAAATATTCTGCACTAACTATTCAGTGGGATACTAGAAACGTATAGTCGTAGAGTCTGATATCATTAATCCAAAAAATCTAGTTTGCCCCACTTGGATTAGTGATATTCAAAACAAGGCAAAATGAGTTTTCAATAAGTAATGAATTTCACATAATAAACGTTCCATGTAGGCTATATAAATACTCAGTCTCAGAGTAACATCACAAGCATCATATTCATCTGAGTACATAATTACACCAACATAGAAAATTATCATGGTATTCAGTTTTACATTAGCATTAGCAACAGATTGAAGTTTCAGATATTCAACATATCAATCGATTGATAGACTCCTAGACTAATTTAAAGTGGTAATACCATTTAAGGTTTTGATAAATTAAATATTTAAAAAATTAAACTAAATATTCTTACCTGACCTGAAAATGGTAAAAGAACTTTGCTGAAACCAGGTCAGTGAAAGAAGGAA